TCTAATGCTTCTTGATGCTTTATTCGTACATAGTACTTTCATAACGAAGATTATCAGTTTAAATTCCATGCTCATGATACCACATGTAAACATAAATTTTAATTGCATATTAGGATTTTGAACATGATACTCTTACATAAAGTTGTTACAGAAAACAAACCTGAATCGTAAGCTATTATCACGAAGTGGAAGCGTTTATCGAAGTCGGTTTCTCACCCTTGCCTTAACTTTTGTTACCGTCGCCTTTAGCGATGGAAGACAGAAATAAAAATACGGTAACCCTAATGCAGTGGCAAAGCCAGAATTTTTTTTTAAGGGTGTTCAAACTTGAAAGAAGTAAAAAAAATTCCCGAGAAAGGGTGTTCAATACATGTTATATACCTTTAAAACCTAATATTTATCTATATATGCAGTGTATTTTCTAACGAAGGGTGGTCAATTGACCACCCTTATCATAATGTAGCTTCGCACATGCCCTAATGGGTGGGGAGAGGACCAATTTTTAGAGGTTCTCACTTAATCCGGTACGTCCATCAAGTAACCGATCGGACGGATGAGATTTGATCATTAATTAAATATTAATTATGGGCCTTAAACTTATTGAGCCACCAATAAACGTAAGAAAATCTTACATACAAATCCAACACAATACGATAAATATGACAAAAACTACAATATACGACATATATGCCGAATAATTTGGGTTTGGCTTTATGAATCATCATGTTTCATCTATTAAATTCATCTCAGACTAATATTATGCAAATAAAAATAATAATAAAAAGTGATAGAAGTTCTTTATAGTTTTTACTTGCATACAAAGAATCGGCCGTGTATTGGAAAAAATTATATTTATGTATATGATGACGTGTCATGACGTATAGACTGGTCAAACAGTCAAAGAACTAAGGTTGGTTAACAGATACGAGCAACAACAGATACGAGTAAATTAAATGGAGGGGGTGAGAGCAGTCATACAAGTAATTCAACGCTCGTACCTATTCAAGACATTTGAAACTCAAAGATAGTGAAGAATCAAAGGAATGAATCTAACAGCAAAAAGGAGCCCAGATACAGCATTTAATGAGTATTAATTATTGGAAATGTTAGAGAATATGTATTTAATGTATATGATTGCATAACGTAACATTTAAAGTCATTAATTGCCCATAATAGCATTATTATGACAAAGGTAAGGCTCGTATCCCAAAAGAGCTATAAAAAGGGAAGAAACAAACAATTGTAGAAAGGAGGTGACTATTGGAATATACTTTGATTTACTAGCTTTCATACTTGGTTACTCTAAAATTTCTTTCTTTATTTACTTTTTTGATTATCAGTAACCCGATTCTTCTAAATTCTAGTTTTGACTAAAATCCTATTTTTTGGTTAAACAGGCCGAAAACTAGTTTTTGTTTTGTTTTTTGCTATGTCGGTTTGGAAGAAAGGAACAAAAGAGTAAAGTTTTGGAGGGTAGCATGATTAGCTCTGTAGTGGTTTGAGTGAAACTGAGCAAATCAAACCATGTGAAGTCTGGGTACATTCTTGGCTGATTTCTGGAGATAAGATCTTGTGGGGGTATTATCACTTTGTCTTCCTTTTGGGCTGAAAAAAAATGCCAACGATATTCTCTCACGTTGTCTGTTCACTATTGCTCTATGCACGCAACTTTTGTATATTCCATTTGACAGTGCCTGCATTTTGTACGTACATACATGCATGCATATGTCGTTTAGAGGTATGTCTATGTAGTAGCAATTTAATTTATACATACGTTTTCCTACTCCACTATATATTGATTAAGTATGTAGCGAAGAGTCCATGAGCAACATCCAACAGGTAAGACAAATAAGTGGAGGACATTACGTTGCCGCAAAATTTGAAGCTTAAGGGTTCTGATTTCTAATCTTTTTAAGTTATTGGTTTTAAAATTAATAATTTATACATATTTAATAGATTTACAAAACAGATATCTACTAAGTTCGACCAAACGCGTAAGTTATACTCTAGCTCCGCCTGAGATGAAAGGTAAAGTTGAAAGCTTAAGATTTATAACACTAGCTTGTTCCTATCATTGTTGTGTTTCACACAATTTATTCTGTTCGTTATGTTCATGTTTAAAGGTGCGATTTAACTTTATATGGACTAGTTAACTTTGGAATTATTGTTAATACTTAGATTTATCGAATGGAAGCCATGGATTGAAGAACCCTAATTTGGCAACAAGAATAGAGAGAGAAGATCTAGAAGGATCTGTTTTATTGGAAAAAAAATGTTCTCGATACAAATTATCCGTCTATCTCATAATACACATAGACTAACTAATATATACAATTTGGGCCTAGTATCTTAAATTACACTTGGGCCTAAATATAAGATGGGCCTGTTAACTAAGCTCATTACAATGTTCAGCTCCAACACCCCACCCCACCCCCCACCCTCTCAAGCTGGAAGGGCTTGCCATTCCAAGCTTGCCAATGAATCCTTGTTGCTGCACACCAAATAAAGACTTAGTAAAAATATCACCAGGTTGAGCAGAAGTAGAAATAGAGTGTAGAGAAATAAGACCAGCAGTCAGTGTATTGCGGACAAAATAACAATCCACCTCGATGTGCTTAGTACGCTCGTGAAAAACAGGATTCTTTGCGATGTGGACAGCAGTTTGATTGTCACAATAAACATGGACTGGACAAAGATTACCAACACCAAGTTCACCCAACAAACGAATCAACCAAGTAGTTTCAGCTACCAACATTCTGAGGGCTCTATACTCAGCCTCTGCAGAAGATAGTTCTATGGTGGGTTGCTTCTTGGATTTCCAGGAGACAGGACAACCACCAAGTAATAAAAGAAACCAAAACTGATCTTCTACTATCAGAATCAGAGAAAACATTCAAAGAGAAATCAACAACATTGTTCAAGAAGATCCCCAAATCAGAGGTACCAGCCAAATATCTCAGGACATGATAACCAGACTCTAAATGAGGCACCCTAGGGGCAGACATAAACTGACTGAGGTGCTGAACAGTGAATGAAATATCAGGTCGAGTATGCTGGAAATAATTCAGCTTACCAACTAATTGTCTATAGATGGAAGGGTCAGGAACTAGAACACCAGAGTCAGTTGATAGTTTAACATGAGGATCCAAGGGGGACACAACTAGACTGGCAGAAGAACAGTTATATTCCTGGAGTAGGTCAGTAGTAAACTTATGCTGGCCAACCAAGACACCACGAGGGAGCTTAAGAATTTCAAGACCAAGAAAATAATGAATTTTCCCAAGATCCTTAATTTTGAATTGTGCATCAAGAAAGTGTTTGAGGGCAGTAATTTCAGACAGGTCATCCCCAGCTACTAATATATCATCCACATACACAGCTACAATAGTGAGATGATCCCCTGATAACTTCCTAAATAGAGAATAATCATTTAAACTAGGCTGATAACCCTTAGACTGCAATGCATTGGAATGTTTAGCATACCACTGCCTAGAGGCTTGTCTCAACCTATAGAGGGACTTATTTAGTTTGCAAGCTGAAGAAGAAATAGGAACAGAATCAGAAGAGGAGACAGAAAGACCTTGGGGGATTTTCATGAATACTTCCTCATCTAAATCACCATGTAGAATAGCATTATTCACATCAAGTTGGTAAACAGCCCAGCCCCTCTTAGCAGCTACAGATAAAAGACATTTAACAGTAGTCATCTTAACTACGGGAGAAAAAGTCTCATTAAAATCAACACCCTCTTGTTAAGTACCCCCCTAATTACAAGCCTTGATTTATACCTCACAATAAACCCATCAGCCTTTTGTTTAATTTTGTACACCCATTTACAAGGTATGACCTTTTTACCAACAGGAAGAGGGACTATGTCCCAAGTGTTGTTGGCTTCCAAGGCTTAAAATTCCTTAATCATAGCCTCTTGCCAAGCAGGGTGTGAGGCATCTTGATGATAGAACTTAGGTTCTTGCAAGCAAGCTTCAGAAGATACAGAAAGTACCCTAAAAGTAGAAGCAATATTGCAAACATAATCACTAAGATATACAGGAGGATGAGAAGTTCTGGAAGATTTTCTGAGTACAGGAGGAAGATGAGAAGAGGGAGGAGCTGGAGAAGTTTGAAGATGAGAAGAAGAAGGTGGAGGACTGTTAGGAGATGGAACATGAAGATGTGAAGAGTCAAGAGTTGGAGTAGTGGGATCAGGGGACACATGAGGAAAAAAATCAGAAGGAGAAACAGAATGAACAGAAGGTGGAAATAGGTGAGTAGAACTTGGAGCAGAATAAGGAAAAACATGTTCATGGAAGATGACATCTCTGGAAAAGAAAATACTGAAGTTAGACAGGGTGAGCAACTTATACCCCTTCTTGTTGGGACTGTAACCAATGAAAACAGAAGGAATGGTTCTAGATTTAAATTTATCCCTATATGGCTTAGGCATAGCAGCAAAATAGAGGCAACCAAAAGTCTTAAGGTGAGATATACTAGGTTCAATTCCATGGAGAAGCTCAAAAGGTGATTTGTTTTTCAGTAATGGAGAAGGAAATTTATTGATAAGGTATGTGGCTGTCAAGATACACTCTCCCCAATATTTAACAGGTAGTTTGGATTGAAACAGGAGTGCTCTTGTAGTTTCAAGGAGATGTTTATGCTTCCTTTCCACAACACCATTTTGTTGAGGTGTTTGTGGGCAGGATGTTTGATGCAATATCCCATGGGCAGAAAAGAATGAGATGGCTGTGGAACTGGAACCTAACTCAAAGGCATTATCAGATCTAACCACTTGTACCAAAGAATGGAACTGAGTTTGTACCATAAGAATAAAAGATTGCAGGATAGTGAAGGCATTTCCTTTAGAGGACAAAAGATGTGTACAAGTTGCTCTAGAGTAATCGTCCACAATAGTCATAAAATATTTAAAACAATTATATGTTTGAGTATGATAAGGTCCCCAAAGGTCCACATGTATAAGTTGGAAAGGGGAAGTGGAGTGTATTTCACTCAGGGAAAGATAGTCTCTGTTGCCTAGCCATAGGACATATATGACACAAGAAAGACTGCTTCTTAGGCAGTTTAGCACATATGGAAGAAATATTTTTCATTTTACTAAAAGGTAAATGGCCAAGTCTAAGGTGCCAAGAATGATCAAAAGACAAAGCAGGAGAAGAAGCATAAACAGGAGACTTATCAGCATTCACAGAAATAGAAGAAACAGGACAATGTAAAAGGCTACTGCTCTTATTCATATCATTGATGAAATTGGCAGTAATGGTATTTACAAATGAAGTATTGAAAGCAGAGTTGCAACTAGAAGTGAGTGTAGCAGGGTTGAGAACATAGAGCCCATTCTGAATACTACCAAGTGCCACTTGCCTCTTCAAAGAAGGGCCCTGTAAAACACAACCAACAGAAGAAAATAAGGCTAAGCAGTTTATTTGTAGAATTAATTGAGCAAGAGAAATCAGGTTATATTGAAAGGAAGGAACTAGAAGCACATTAGTCAGGGAAATTTCAGGAGTTAGGGTTAAAGTGCCAGTGCATGTCACTTTGACTTTGTAGCCATTAGGCAAAGTAACCAAGGAAAAATAAGAGGTCTAATATCAGACAAGAAGGAAGAGTGTGGTGTCATGTGATTAGTTGCACCTGAATCTATAATCCAAGGACTATTCTCTATCTTAGAAAAATTACAAGCAAGAAACCTAGAACTATTGAAAGTAGGGTTACCTATCAAACCTGCAAAATTGGCAGAACCAGCAGTGATTTCCTGAGGACTAGTTTGTATTTTGGATTGTTGCAGAAGATTCATTAGCTGATCAAATTGCTTTTTAGTGATGCTTGTACCTCTAGAGTCTGAAGTCACTTGCTTAACAGCACCACCAGCCTCAGGCTGACTTTGAGATTGTGTATCAGAAACTTGAGAAAAAAGCTGCAGTTCTTTTGAATTTAGCTGGGAATCCAGGTGGAAAGCCATGGAGCTTGAAACATTTTTCAATTGAATGTCCAGGCTTTTTACAGTATCTACACACCAAATTATTTCTCTTAGCTGTGTCAAAATTAACTCTCTGATTATAAGGTTTCTGTGTACCAGTGGAGAATGCTACAGAATTAGAGTTGAAAGAAGGAATAGCAGTTTGTACTGTGGACTGACTCTCATCATTCACGAGCATGGTGTAGACACTGTCCACATCAGGTAGTGGCTTCATCAAGAGAATACTGCGTCTAATTGTAGAGTAGGACTCATTGAGACCCATCAGAAACTGATGAACCTTTTGATCTTCATCCAGTTTGTGAAACTTCTCTTTGCAGCCACAAACACAATCAGGATAGGAGATAGAAAATGAGAGTTCATCCCATAGCTTTTTTATTCTATTGAAATAGGAGGAAATACTGGATGTTCCTTGAGAAACATATGAAATTTCCTTTCTAATCTGATGTATTTTGATACCACTGGCCTGCCCAAACCTCTTTTCAATTTCATTCCACAACCTTTCAGCAGATTCTGTGTACATGACAATTTCCCTAATCTCTCGATCCAAACTATTAAGTATCCAAGCGACTACCATATCGTTGCATCTGGTCTAAGGCTCAAATAAAGGGGAATCAGGGTTAGGTTTCGGAATTGTACCTCTAATCATCCCTAATTTGTTCTTACAAGATAAACCTAGTAACATGCCCCTTCATCAGCTCCCATAACCAGTACCATCAAATGTGCTAGAAACCAACATCGTACCAGGTGAATCAGATGGCAAAAAATATAAAGGGGAAGAAGGAAGTACAGTAGTCTCATCACTACTTACAGTACTGTTAACAGGAGTCGAAGTTGAAGCCATAGTTCACTTAGGGTTTCAGCAAAAAAAAAAATTACTCACACTTGCTTGAATCGATTAAAAAAACGACAATAAAGGAAGAACACTGATGAATTCATCAAAAATACTTGAAGCAAATATGAAGAATCAGAATACCTTAAGCAGCGAAGAAGGAATTGATCGAAGACTTGTGACTCAAATCGAAACCCCTGACAATGGGTTAATCCATCAGAGAACAACCAAATCTTCACACAGCTACCGTGAAACCAACAGATTAGCTCCGATGAATCCTCGTAGTGGCTCTGATACCATGTTAATACTCAGATTTATCGGATGGAAGCCATGGATTGAAGAACCCTAATTTGGCAACAAGAGTAGAGAGAGAAGATCTAGAAGGATCTGTTTTATTGAGAAAAAAATATTTTCGATACAAAATATCCGTCTATCTCATAATACACATTGACTAACTAGTAATATATAAAATTTGGGCCTAGTATCTTAAATTACACTTGGTCCTAAATATAAGATGGGCCTGTTAACCATCTCATTACAATGTTCAGCTCCAACAATTATGTTTATAGATTTGTCAAAGTGTAACGTTCACATGTTGTACTTACAAATAGTCTCCAATCTCATACTCCTTTATTTTATGGGAAATCACAAACTATATATAGCTGACATGTTTTGACACTATTTAGAGCAATTATCTGAACCTAACTTTTACAAATACTCTAGTAATCTGGAAATCGTTGATTGTCTAGATAATGTTTTCTTAATTAATTAGTTAAGCATTCACTTGCCAACTGCCATAGCACACGTAAAATAAAGTTTGTGAACTAGATGAAAAAATAATTACCTTATAATTAAAAAGTTTGTAAATATCCTTGTGAAACTTATTCGATGCAGAAGAAAGCAAAGGAAACGTTTCTTTATGACAGAAAAGTGGACCAAAAAGCTCTAATATTAATGATTTTCATGATCCCACCTGACTCCTTAATCCATAGTCTACTGCAATTTATTACTTATAAAATTGTTAGGAAACTTCAAAATAAATATTGTTGAATAAACTTTATCATAGGAAATGCCACAAGGGCACACTATCTAATGCTCGATACAAAACTTGTATTGGATTTCCATCCTTATTTTGATTTATCAAGAGATTGGCATATTATAAATTCTTCTTTATGAAATATGTAACTTACCCTAATATATTATGTTGCTTTTAACTATATGAGACAGAAAGAAAGAAAGAAAAAAAACAAAGCGTAATGTCACAAATTTGTTGGTGCTACCAATATTAGTGCATAAAACTTAAATTTAGTAAAATATATATATATTTGAAGCACCGTAAATATGTCTCTAATGTTGATGACAAATGCACTAGGCCTAGGTCGCACTAATTACTACTTGCTATTCACTTATAGTGCATAAAAGATAAACTCGGCAAAATATATATCTGATAGGTTTTTAATATCTTTGCCTTGTGTTTTGATGATCTAACAAACTTAATATCAAGAACCAGATAGGGAACCTGACTCACTTGGATTATACAGCATCTAACGGATTCCAGCCAAATGTGAACTTGCTACAGCTTCAAGAGGTAGGAGCCCAGACAAGGACCGGATACTCTTGTGGGTTCCTCGGCAGTACAAAGTCAATTGGACACAGTTGGAAACGAAGATTCTGCGGCACTGCACTGTTCCCAGCGCCCACTCATTCTCTGATCAACTAAAGTACAATGAGTTTATACAAAACATCATTCAAGTTACTCAACTCAAGACAATCTGGGCAGTGTGCACAAGTGCCAGATCAGGAACATGATCCCTTGGTGCTCTCCTGACAAAAGTACAAGTCAACTATACAGCTGGAACACAACTGAAGAGAGTGACTGTCCGCAACTGTACAAAGAGGAACACAAGAGGGACCTGGTCCCTTAGGGTTCTCTGACAGAAGTACAAGTCAACTATACAGTTGGAATGCAACTGAGTGACTGTCCGCAACTATACAAAGAGGAACACAACAGGGACCTGGTCCCTTAGGGTTCTCTGACAGAAGTACAAGTTAACTACAGCTGAAAAGCAATTGCAGAAAGTGAGTGCCTGCAACAGTGCAGCAGACAGTGCAGCAGTCACTTCCCATTGAGATTGGACATCACTAAGGATGTCTTGTGTAGTATAAACCTTATGCAAGGCATAAGATTCAGGTTCAACACTTGCAAATACAAAAACGAAAATTCTCTCAAGTGCTCAAGAACCTCTCTCAAGAACAAAGCTGCTGCAACCTCAAGGACCTGATCCAAGATTGATGATATCTTAAGTCCTTAGGGTTGTTGAGTCTTTGTTATGTGTTCTTCATTGTAACTCCTATCCGGCTTTCTTAGAAGCGTTGATTAGGAATCCTTTGTAAATCTGTAAACTCCCTGAGTTTATGTTGTGGCTAGGTTGAGTCATAAGCAAAAGCCTTTGTAACCGTAGTGTGACAAAGTGGCTTGTGGTGGAAACATCACAAGTTAGTCAAANTATTTCGGAAGATCACTTCGAAGCCTCGAGGCTGCAAAGATGCGCTCGAGTCTTCTCCCTCGGAGCCCATCAACACCCGGTCTTAAGGGGATGACGGTCGTGGCTAGAGTGAAAATGGGAAGTTCCCAAGACGACGGCTAAGTACGTCGCAACTGAGTCTGACAAAGCCTAGCCAGGCTACTCTAAGCCCTACTCGGGGCGTCATTTCCAGCTGTCCCATCTCCACACCTTTACAGCTGGCGGATTCCTTACCGTATAAGTTTCCCCCTTCTATATAAAGGGAATTTTAACTAGTTTTTAGAGGACTGATGTTGCTCCAAAGGCTCTACATGAAATAAATAATAACTCTCTCTCTTTCCCTCTAAGAAACTCTCTCGTCATTGTTGTTCTATCTTATTACTTTCATACTTGTTCCATATTTATTACTTATCATTGGCTGTAAAGAGCCTCCTTTAATACTAGTGTGACAAAGTGGCTTGTGGTGAAAATACCACAAGTTAGTCAAATTCTTTGTAACCAGGATGGTTATAGAGTGGCTTGTGATGAGAGCATCACAAGTTAGTTGAAGTCTTTGCAATAGGGTTATTGTAAAGTGGCTTGTAATAGGGAGATTGCAAGTTAGTGAAGTTAAAAGCCTACAGGTGTAGGTCGTGATTTTTTCGATCCCCTTGTGTGGGATTTTTCCACGTAAAAATCCTCTACCTTATTTACATTCAGCTTTACTAGCATTCACAACAGAACTCGATAAAGGAACAGGTACTCTACTATTTGGTGGTTTCGCACAAACTTAGCAGTGTACCAAACTGATATAGGACTAGATTGCTATACAGTTTGGTTCATCAGTATTCTCAGAGGAAACATATAGAGAACTCGATTCTCTATACAGTCTGGTGGACTCACAGTTTCTAACAAGTGGTATCAGAGCAAGTTCTTCCTATCATGCTAACACCTAAGAAGGATCCTCATGGCTGCTCCACCAACTCTTGAAAGGAGAAAACCAAAGAAGGAAAAGTACCGGGTACTCAAAGCTGATAACAATGATTCGAGTGAGGAAAACAGTGACATGGCTTACTTAACCAAAAGGTTTCAGAAGATGGTCAGAAGAAAAAGGGACAGCTCTAACAGATCAAAGAGCAATGATCTTTGTGTTACAAGTGTGGAAACGCTGGACACTTCATGAAAAATTATCCTCTCTTGAAGCAAGAATTCTCCAAGAACTTCAAGAGAAAAAGATCAGCTGACAATGTGGTGAAACAGGCTTTTTAGCTTTTGGTGAGTCTGAAGATAAAACTGATGCTGGTGATAGCTCATGAAGGCAAGTGAA